GAGGTGCTGAGCTTGGGGGTGCCGAGTCTGAGGGTACTGAGCCTACGCGTGAGGAGCCTGGAGGTGCTGGCGCTGGAGGTTCTGGAGCAGTTGGGGGTGCTGGCGCTGAGGGTTCTGAGTCTGCTGTTGCGCGGTCTCCTTGGAGTAGCCGCCTTCGTCCACGTGTGCCTCTCACCTCACAGCAGCTGCAGGACCGGTACGGTCGCCGTCAGGGTCGCGCTGCTGGAGCCCGGGGCTCTACTGCTGGAGTCGCTGGTTCCGGAGGTGCTCGTATTGGAGGTACTGGAGCTGCTGGGGCTGGGGGTGCTGCGTCTGGAGGTGCTGCTGCTGGAGACACTGAGGTTGGAGACCCTGGGACTGGAGGTGCTGGTTCTGGGGGTGTTGCTGCTGGAGACACTGAGGTTGGAGACCCTGGGACTGGAGGTGTCGGTTCTGGGACTGGAGCTGCTGGAGGTGCTGGAGCTGCTGGAGGTACTGGAGCTGCTGGAGCTGCCGGTACTGGCGCAGCTGCGCCGACACGACTGTTCTTCGCTCCGCCGTCTCCGTTGTCTCTGCCGCCGTCTGACTCTGCTCTTCGTCAGGTTCTTACTCTCCCGTCGTCTACTGGTCTTCCGTTACAGCCTGGCTCACCGCTGCCTGCTCCTTCTCCTTACACTGAGCAGACTGGTAGTCCTGCTGAGCGTCGTGAGCCTGCGTCGCGTCCTGTCTCGCCTGCTCGTCCTGGTCGTACCGGTCGTCGTGTTCCTCGTTCGCGTCAGCCGGCTGTCCCCAGCGCACACCTCGTAGTCCGTCGTCCTTCCTCTGCTCTGCAGCCTGTTCCTCTGCCGTCTCCTCCTGCGTCCTCTCTACCTGACGTTCCAGACCCTGAGTCTGACCGGTTTCGTGCTGAGCACCCTACTGTCACACGTCTGCTAGCCACTGTTGTCACTGACCCGTCGTTTGAGTCTACTGCTGCGTCTGCTCTTGTCGCTGAGCTTGTTGACTTTGCTGCTGCCTGTCGTCTAGACTTCGCTGCCAGTCTTGTTGCTGAGTCTGAGTCTGTCTGTCCTCCGTCCATCGGGGGTGAGTGTGCTCTTAGCACGGACGTCCTTGAGGACAGGCACGAGGACCTTGAGTGTCTTGCGGCTGCTGCGCCTCATCTCGTGGCCATGCTGCTTGCCCCTGAGGGAGACCCGGATGCACCAGACATCCCGACCCCGCGCTCTTACGCTGAGGCGATCGCGGGTGAGTACTCCTCTCAGTGGCAGACAGCCATGGACGCAGAGATGGCATCCTGGAAGTCCACAGGCACTTACGTCAATGAGGTTCCCCCTCCTGGGGCGAACATTGTCGATGGCATGTGGATTTTCAGGGTGAAGCGGCCGCCGGGTTCTCCGCCTGTCTTCAAGGCTCGTTACGTTGCTCGAGGCTTCAGTCAGCGAGAGGGAGTTGACTTCTTCCAGACCTTCTCCCCTACCCCGAAGATGACTACTCTTCGGGTGCTGCTGCACGTTGCCGCTCAGCGTGACTACGAGCTTCACTCTCTTGACTTCAGCACAACTTTCTTACAGGGCAGCCTACACGAGGAGATCTGGCTGCGCCGCCCACCTGGCTTCACTGGGTCGTTCCTTCCTGGTACCCAGTGGAGCCTCCGGCGGCCAGTCTACGGTCTCCGCCAGGCGCCACGTGAGTGGCACGACACACTGAGGACGACACTGGCGGCTCTTGGGTTCGCTCCTTCGACAGCTGACCCGTCGCTGTTCCTGCGCACCGACACTTCGCTGCCACCGTTCTACATCCTCGTGTACGTCGACGACTTGGTCTTTGCCACTGCTGACACTGAGGCTCTCGCCTTGGTGAAGTCGGAGCTACAGAAGAGACACACGTGCACAGACCTGGGTGAGCTGCGCAGTTACCTTGGCTTGCAGATCACTCGGGACAGAGCACGCCGCACCATCACACTGACTCAGTCACACATGGTGCAGCAGGTTCTCCAGCGCTTCGGCTTCACCTGGTCCTCGCCACAGCACACTCCTCTGGCTACAGGTCACTCGCTCTCAGCTCCACCTTCGGACGAGTCCGTAGAGCCGAGTGGTCCTTACCCAGAACTAGTGGGCTGCCTCATGTACCTGATCACCTGCACTCGTCCTGACCTTGCGTACCCTCTTGGCCTTCTCGCTCGCTACGTGGCTCCTGGTAGGCACCGACCAGAGCACATGGCTGCTGCTAAGAGGGTACTGCGCTACTTGTGCAGTACATCGGGCATGGGGCTCGTGCTTGGAGGACGGAGTGAGGTGGTCCTCACTGGGCACTCAGACGCGTCTTGGGTTGACGACCAGGCTACACAGCGGTCGTCACAGGGTTACACCTTCAGCCTTGGCTCTGGCTCTGTTTCTTGGCGGTCTACACGCTCGTCTTCTGTTCTCAGCTCCAGTTGTGAGGCTGAGATCTACGCCACCGCCATGGCTGCACAGGAGCTACGCTGGCTCACCTACCTGCTGACTTACTTGGGTGAGCGGCCTCGTTCTCCTCCAGTGCTGTACGTTGACAACAAGGCGGCCATTGCCTTGTGTGAGGAGCACAGACTGGAGCACAGAACGAAGCACATTGCTCTGCGTTACTTCCTGGCTCGAGAGTTGCAGCAGCGAGGCCAGCTTCGTCTTCGCCACGTGGCCACTCGGGCCAACACTGCTGATATATTCACCAAGGCACTTTCGTCTGGTGATCATCAGCGCTTTTGTACTCTGTTGGGCCTTGTGCCTACGTTTCCACACTTGCTGTAGTCTCTGCTTGTACTGTGATCTATATATATACCTGCATGCTGGCTCTTGCTAGGTAGCCATCACTGTACTGTTATTGCTGCATATATATCTCTGCATGTGAACTGACCTTGTGGCCATTTGCTTGTGCTCTGAATGTGTGGTGACGTTGTGATCCACCCTGAGCTTTGCTTCTCTTGACTGGTCTTGTGACCCTTTGCTCTCCCCCACTTTGCCTATGGGGGTGTGTCAAATGATATATATGTGTGATATATATTGGTAGGCTGTAGTGGGGTAGATGTTATAGGGGATAACACTTTAGGGTTGTGTTTCTTGTACCAATCTCTCTCGTCAATGCAACCAACCTTGCCTAGCTATCTCGACAGTGTGCACGTGGCGCGCGTGTGTAGTCTTGCCAGTTCTAATGATGGCCCGTGCCTTTTGCTTCACTGGTGGTCGTTGTGGCACTGCTGCTCTAGTGAAGGCAGCTGCAATGGCACTTGCGATAGGTGAATCCCCTGTCTGATCATTTATTGACAGGTCAATGCAGGTCCAAGGTAGTACCGGTAACTTGCAGGAGAGGAAAGAAGTGAGATACAGGAAATTTAACCGACAGCTTAGAATTTGTCACGTCTAATGGAATTACGTTTTAGCGGAAAGTGGTGATGCTCCTACGTGTATTCGTTCGTGCGAGGATGCGCGTGGAACGACTCTGACAGTCTTCGCTGACCTCGTCGTGAGGTCATCAAATTCCCTTGAAATTTGACTGCACCCGACGTCACGAACTGTGTGTAACAATTTGAGTTCGCACATTTCGTCGCGACTTCATCGTAACACCTACATGCGAACGCGTCCGATTTCTCGCCTAGGCGCAAACCGGCCCACTTGCCGCTGACTCTTGCCCGACGCGCTTACTCCCCCACGCCTCCTTCCTAGCAGCTATGCTCGTTTGTGGGAGGATGCGCGTGGAACGACGCTGACAGTCTGCGCTGACCTCGTCTGCGCTGTAACAATCGACCGTCGCAGCTTTTATCGCACAGCTCTCAATCTTGCAAATGCGAACATCTAATGAGAAGGTCGTGCGCCTTTTCGCCCACGCGCAAACCGGGCCCACTCGTCGCTGACGCGCTTGGCATCCCACGTCTCCTTCCTAGCAGCCCCTCGAAGGCTTGTTCTTCCGGGTCGCCAGGCGGAAGGGGATTTGTGGAAAGGGGGAAAGGTGATGTGGAGAGTGGGCGGGGGCGGGAGGCTGGGGAGAACCGCACCTTCCCCCAATTCCAGGCGAATGAATCAGACCCAATCACGACAGACAGGGTTACCAGAGGGGGGTGGCGAGTTGGCAGGGGCGGGGGCTTTGAGAGAGCTGCATCTTCCTCCAATTCCAGGCGAATAAATTTCCGAGACCTTATCACGACAAACAGGGTTACCCCGGGCAGTACATCAACTCCTCATCGCAAAAGCGCGTGAAATCGAGCCGCTCTGTTCCTTTGCACCCACCTTCCTTCCCACTCTCCCCGTCGCTCCACCCCTGCACCCCACAGCAGCCAAGGGCAAACCAACCCGTTAGATCGTCGATCGTCCTAGCATCCTTTAGCTGTCATTAGTTGTCCTTAGTTGTCCTTCGGGTGACTCGATCGTTATTTGTCGTGACTCGTGCGTGGCGCGTGAGTCGGCACTATCGAGGTACCTGCAGCAGCAGCAGCAGCCAGGAAACTCCTGGTTTCGCGTGGTTGGAGCTGCTATGAGGAGCACTAGGAGCTTCACTTCAGCAGCACCCAGGAAACTCCTGGTTGCGCCTGATTGGTGCTGCGATGAGGAGCACATGAGGTGCGCATGAGGGCTTCCCTTCATCTATCCACCAGCAGCTCCGAGGAAACTCCGGGTTTTTTCGGATTGGTGGTAGCGGGCCGCGACGCGACTCGACTCGCAGGAATATCGAGTAGCGCTACTTAGCATGGCGTCATCTCGAGCTTTCATCGTCAGTCGAATCAAATCTTCACGTCTGTTTCCAAACGATCGTTCCAAGAGCACTGCGGATGATCAGGCCTTCACATCTTCCCCTGCGCTCGCTCAGACGATCCTACAGTCGGAGTTATCTCTCCGCATTCGCCGCAGCGCTCGATCTCCGCAGTCCTCGATCTCCCGCATTACATACGTCTTTAGTGATAATATTGCCCCGGTTTTTAGTCACGGTACCGGATTCTAGTTGGATAAGGCCGTGGCCAATCACGAGCAAAAACACGTGTTTATACACTCATCCATATGGCACAGCGCAATTCTCTGGGCGCCTTCGCGGAGAAGTACGAAATCAGGGGGGACCTCGGAAAGGGGCGATACGGCGTCGTTGCGGAATGCGCGGAGCGCGTTTCCGGCAGGCGACTCGCCTGCAAGGTGGTCGAGGCGTGCAAGGAAGCGGTTGACGCGGCGCGACGGGAAGTAACGGCTCTTTCGCTCCTGAAAGGGTGTGAAAATATCGTTACTCTCGAGGATGCTTTTATCGGAGAGGGCGGGAAGGGGATGGTGCTTGTAATGGAGCTCGCTACCGGAGGCGACCTTCTAACGCGGATAGAGCAGAAGGGACGGATTGCGGAGTCCGAGGCGCGTGAGCTGTTCAAAGGAGTCGCCATGGCTTTAAAGCAATGTCACCATAACGGGGTCATTCATCGAGACGTCAAGCCCGACAACATTCTCTTGTTTCCCGCCAAAACTTCAAGTTTTGAGAGAACTTTCCTTCGGCGAGTGTCGTCTGAAAGCGGTTCACCGAGCGGGTCGCCTAGATCAACCCTAATGAGCGACTTCATGGGTCGAGGTTGCGAATTCACTGCGAAACTCGCGGATTTCGGAATCGCGAAGGTGCTTGCTCCGGGGGAGAAGATAAACAGCTATGCAGGGAGCTCTCCTTACGAGGCTCCCGAGGTTTTGGCGGGAAAATCGTACGATTTCGCTGCGGACATTTGGAGCCTTGGTGTTACCCTATACGCGATGCTGTCGGGAAAATGGCCAACTTTCGCGAATGGTCGCCGACGGTTTGACGAGAGCAAGGACTGGGACTCCCCCTGCTGGTGGCTCATCTCGAGCCGAGCAAAGAATCTCATCCGTTCGATGCTCGCAACGGACCCTCAGATCCGACCGTCCATTGATGACGTACTGAATGACCCTTGGGTTTGCGGCGCCTCGTTATTCTCGTCGTCATTCTCCCCTGCTGGTTCTCCCAGAAGCATTCCCAAGCCTGCTGCTTCTCCTGCTGTCCAAGACCCCCCTGCATTTGCCACCAAACCCGCGGCTGCATTTGCCGTCACCACTGCAGCTTCGTTTTCCAGCACGAACCCTGCTGTTGCTGCTGCTGCATCACCCAAGGGTCTCCTGGCTGCTGATGATAACTCCTCTTCTGCCTTCACGTTCCCGCTCGCGACGCTCACGATCAAGACCACGTACCGAACCACATGCAGCACGGTCAAGGCGTGCCGCAAGCTCGCATCCGACGTGCTTCGGCAGAAGCAATGGCATCGCGGCGTGTGTGCTGCTGAGAAGCTCTCACCGTGTGCCAGCAAAGTCTCTCCATGCAAGTCCCAGCGGGCTTCGGGGAGGCTCGCTGCACGGGTTGCTGCCATGGCTGTTGCGGCGGTTGAAGAACTGCAAGTGGGGCTTCCTGTGTAACACAAGCATAACTGTTTTGGGACGTTGCAAGAGCTATTCCATTTCAGCAGCTTCTGGGAGACTCAGTGCGCGGGTTGCTGCTATGGCAGTTGCTGCAGTGAAAGAAATTACTGCCGATGGGACTTTCGGTCCAACAAGGCCGTGATTGGCTTTTTTTATATGCGGCGAACAGAAGTTGAGCCTGCCAGAGTATTTCTGACGTGACATAACCATGTGTTTGAAGAAGTGTTTTGAGACGTCTCAAAACACTTCTTCAAACACGAGGCGTGACCACCGGCACTCCTGGGGAGAACCGCTGTTTTTTTCCAGCCTGACATGGGCTTGGGAGGTTGGAAGCGGTGGAAATGCTTACTTTGGGAAGTAAGCTGAAGGAGGAGAGAGCTGGTGTGGTGTACGTGCTTAATTGGCCAGGACACGCACACCAGAGACCCCTCAAGCACACTCATGAGTCCTAGGGCATTGTTGAGGCACACGTTTGAGAGAGACGCCCCTGCCGATTCGGCATACCTACTTCTTGGGTATTCTTTAGGCGCCTCTGGGAAGCAGCCAGATCAGCATGCTGTAAGATGTATTGTGATTGAACAAGTGTAAAGTAATTCTATTCATTCAACCAGCCCAAGCCTGTTCCTGGTCATTACACTAGAAACATAGTTGGACACTCTGATCTAACTAGCCTCTCTTGGTGTGTCAACCACCTGTCGTGTTCTGAGAACACAAGTTGGGTACAGTCATTCAAGCAGGCTCAAATCTGCACCGTGACATAACGATTGTGTCACTGCCCACCAAATGACTGTAGAACGAAATTGAAGAGCTACGAAATATGACCGATTAACAGCCATACGATATGTACAGCGTTGCCCTATTGTACAATTTGTTCTGGTGTAACTCAGCAGGCTCCTGCTCTCCCTCCACCTTATCCCCTCTACCCCCTCTCCCTCAACCCCTACCACGTCACCTCGCATCAACAATCAAGGCTCGGGCCCAATGCTCCACATGCTCTCTCTCCCCTTCCCCCTACCTCTCCACCTTGAATCAGCTCCACCCCCCACATCACCGCCTCGCATCAACAATCATGGCTCGGGCCCAATGCTCCACATGCTCTCTCTCCCCTTCCCCCTACCTCTCCACCTTGAATCAGCTCCACCCCCCACATCACTGCCTCGCATCAACAATCATGGCTCGGGCCCAATGCTCCACATGCTCTCTCTCCCCTTCCCCCTACCTCTCCACCTTGAATCAGCTCCACCCCCCACATCACCGCCTCGCATCAACAATCATGGCTCGGGCCCAATGCTCCACATGCTCTCTCTCCCCTTCCCCCTACCTCTCCACCTTGAATCAGCTCCACCCCCCACATCACCGCCTCGCATCAACAATCATGGCTCGGGCCCAATGCTCCACATGCTCTCTCTCCCCTTCTCATCATTCGGGGGAGGTGGCAACTGAACCGCATATACCTCTGCCACTCAGCTCAGCTCCCTCAATCGACCCCCTCCCCCCACATCACCGCTGCGCATCAACAATCATGGCCCGAGCCCAATGCTCCACATCCTCGGCATCACTTGGGGGAGGTGGCAACTGAACCGCATCTACCACCGCCCACTCCTCCCCTCCAACCTCCCCCCTCCCCTCCCCCCCCACCTCCCCCTTCCCCTCGCCTCCCTCCCTCCTCCTTCCACGCCCTCCCTCCCGCACTCGCCCCACTCCTTCGCCATGCCCCTTCCCTCTTGATCCCAGCAGCCTCTGCTTGATATTCAACCCATTTGCACTGGATTCAGAGACTGGATAGGGCGTTTTCGAATCTGCATTGCCTTTGAGAGTTGATACGCTGGGGTTCAGAGGTGTGCTGGGGCTGTGGCTGGGGTTGATGGTGTTACGATGGGTGTGAGATAGAGTTCCGCTTGTACTTGTATCAGAGATGACTTTACAGGGTATTCTGCGACCGTGCTGCTTGGAATAGGGGAGGGAGCAGGAGAACAGAGGAGAGGGTGTGGAGGAGTGTGGGGTTTCATAAGGAAGGGAGGGGAAAATTCAAATGTGGTACATACCTAACATGGTTATATGCAGAATCAGTGATTTTCGGAATACAACAATCCTAGATTCCTACTCATATTTCCTCATTTCCATTCACTCACCAGTCCTGCTGCTGTTGTGCTGATATAGTCCTCAACAAGGGAGTTTCCAAGAAGGTTCTCGTGAGGCACCTGCACCCCCTCCCCTGCTCCCCCTTCGGCAGCAGCAGTGGGAGAAGTAGCAGCAGCGAGAGGGGAAAGTGCTGGATGGTGCGGTTTTAGGTGGGCAGGCTGAGCAGAGGCGGATGTTGGGGGGGTGAAAAGGAATGACGAGTCACATGCCTGGTTGCTGCAAAGGAGGTGAAGCGGGGGACGGGGAGAGGGGAAAAGATTGAGAGGCCTTTGAGTGATGTAGGGGAGGAGAATGCGGGAGAGAACAGGAACGACGAGTCACATGCCTGGTTGCTGCAAAGAAGGTGAAGCGGGGGAGGAGAAGCAAAAAGTGAGGGAGGGGAAGAGGGAGGAGAAGTGGCAGAGGAAGGGGAAGGGGAGGGCGTGGAAGAGAGCTGGATGGTGCGGGACGAGGTGGGGAGGCGAGGCTAAGTAGTGGTGGACGTTGGGGGGAGAGAGATGGAATAAACAGTAAACTTTAAACCTAATGTTACAGAAAAGATATGTATGAAGTGAATACCGTCAGAAATTGGGACTTTGCCTACCGCAGAAAGGGTAACCGCGTGTCCCGCGTGGCCGCAGACATCATCATTGCCAGCTCAGCAAACTCGTCCAGCTCAGCACCACCTCCGCCCCGAGCCTCATCTCCAGGTCTGGCGATCCCGAACCTGCCGGCATGGGCGGCGGCAAGGCAGGCAGCACTTCTCCGAAGCAACCTCAACCCTCGCCGAACCTGCTTGATCTCGCCAGGTGGCAACTGCTGATTGGCTGCCGAGGCATGAAAGAAATTCATCGGGTGGCCTGTTTCGTCTTGTAGTTGGGGAGGTGGTATCCCAGCCCACGAGCCAAAGAGAGAGTTGCAGGCGAAAGAGGAAGAGAGGAAGCTTCCAGGAAGGGTGGAGGCAGAGGAGTGTGTGGAGGCGGAGGGAGAGGAGGGGAGGTTGGAGGAAAACGGAGGGGAGGAGGGGGAGTGGGAGGAGGAGTCCAGGGAGGAGGGGGATTGCGAGTGCGAGTGAGATGGTGTGAGAGAAAATGAAATCACATCCCTGCCAAACAAAGACCAGAAAAGGGAGCATGAGTCGTACAATTCATATTTGTAATACTTTAAAATTATACGTATAAAAATGATTTCTTTTGTGCAATACACAATTCCCCTCGTGGGTACTCACCTGGGGTTGGTTGGGGGAGCAAGTGACCAGTAGGACTGTCGGTGCCACACCTTGGATGATGATGCCTGGCGGGAGGATGGGCAGAGTCAACACAAGTCAATACAGGTCAAAACAAGTCAACGCAGGTCAACAGGGGGAGTAGGAGGGCGAGTGAAGGTCCAGTAAGACTGTCTGTGCCACAAATTGGAGGATGCTGAATGGAAAGAGGGTGGGCAGGTTCAGACAGGTTAGCATGGTTCAATGGTCAACGCAGGTCAACTCACATCAGGGAGAACTTACAGCAAAGGCAGCAACGTGCAGGACAGGGAAGGAGAGATACTTGGAAAGCAGGTCAATGAGTATCAGCACAAGTCAACGCAAGTCAGCTCAGGTCAACACAGGTCAAACAACACTCACAGCGAAGGCAGCGACCTGCAGGAGATTGAAGGAGAGATACTTGAAAAGCAGGTCAATGAGCATCAGCACAAGTCAACGCAGGTCAAAGCATCTCAGAGAAAAGCTACTTACAGCGAAGGCAGCGACGTGCAGGAGAGGGAAGGAGAGATACTTGGAGAGAAGTTCCAGGAGACGAATCAAGCAGCTGGAGTGGTGGAGTGGGGTGGGGCGCGATGGAATAGGGTGGGGCGGGATGGGGTGGGTGGGGGATGAGTGGGCGTTACTCAAGTTTTTCTTCAGGCGCTTTGAAAAACAAAGACATGTTTAGAGAAAAGGTTGGAGAGTCGAATCAGGGCGACAGGACGGAGAGAGAAGGAGGGGGTAGCAGGAAGATGGAGGAAACAGGAACTCACCCATGCAGCTGCGAGCTCCAAGGGAGGGATGAGTGCGATGTGGGCGTCAGAGAAGGGGAGACAAGGAGTAGCGGGGACGGGGGTTAGGGGGAGTGTAAAGGACACAGTAGCACTCACCCTAATGCAGCTGCGAGCTCCAAGGGAGGGATGAGTGCGATGTGGGCATCAGAGGAGGGGAGGCAAGGAGTCCACAGATGGAGAGAGTGAACTCGCCGGGGTCAGAGAGGGGAGGGGAGGAGGAGGAAGCGGGGAGGAGAAGAACGTGAAGGACACAGCCTCACTCACCCTATTGCAGCAGCGAGCTCCAAGGGAGGGATGAGTGCGATGTGGGCGTCAGAGGAGGGGAGGCGAAGGCCGCAGATAGAGAGAGTGAACTCGCCGGGATCAGGGAGGGGAGGGGAGGAGGAGAAGCGGGGAGGAGGGGAGGAGGAGACGGGAGGAGGGGAGGAGGAGAGGAGAGGAGAGGGGGATGGCATGTGGACAGTTGAAGTGGTGGGGGTGGTGGTGGTAGGAGGAGGGGTTGGGGATCGAGTGGTGGCTGCTGATGGGTTGGGCGGCAAGGGAACCTGGAACAGGTGGGTAATAGTGAGGAAAACAAAAGGGTTGGTAAACAAACAAAAGGGATGGCATGTGAAGAGCTGCAGTGGCCGGGATGGTGGTGGTGGTAGGAGGAGGGGTTGGGGATCGAGTGGTGGCTGCTGATGGGTTGGGCGGCAGGGGCACCTGGAACAGAGTTGGGCAGGCACATGGGCACATGGGAACATAGTGAGGAAAAAAAGGGTTGGTAGATCAACGATGCTGCACGCAGGAATAGAAACCTCAATTTCCATGAAAAGGAGGTTAGGCAAGGTGAGGGAAGGTACGGAAGGGGCAAGGCAAGGCGAATCAAGGCGAGGCAAGGGAAGGCAAGGGTTAGGCAAGGTGAGGGAAGGTACGGAAGGGGCAAGGCAAGGCGAATCAAGGCGAGGCAAGGGAAGGCAAGGGTTAGGCAAGGTGAGGGAAGGTGTTTGCACCTTTTTAAAAGGAAAGATGTCTCGAAGTCTTTTTAGGCACATCTGCTGGTCTGCTATCAGTGCGCCCTTTACTATCTTCTGCTCACATGCACACATGCACACACACAGACACATGGGCACACGAACACACATGCACGGCACGCGTGAAAAAGAAATGGCGACTTCTGAGTTGACCCAAAACACGTGTCAACATACAAGTTTAACAAATAGTCCAAAAGCACAAAACAATACTATTTTCCTCCATATTTGAGCCATAATGGCACACACCTGTAAGTTGCCCAGAGCTTGCAAGTTGGTCCGGTCCCCTCCCTGTTCCACCCCTCCCACTGCTCCCGTCGATCCCATCTTGGCTGTGCCTGCTGCTCTTTCTGCTCCGCTATCTCCTGTCAGTATCCCTGTGCCTTCTGCACCCACGCTTGCTGCTCTTGCATGTGCCAATGCTGCTCTGCGCATGGCCAGCTGTAGGGAAGAGGGGGAGAGAAAGGAAAACAGGGGGTACGAGAGAGGGGAATAGAAGATTTACCATCGATCAACACCGCTGTATCTGCTCCATCCGCCCTTGCTGCTCCTGCGTGCAACACCGCTGCTCTGCGCATGGCCAGCTGTAGGAGAGGGGGAGAGAGCGGAAAAGAACATTTGGCATCAAGAAACACTTGTGGCTGCTCCACTGAGCCTTGCTGATCCTGCCTCCGCTGCGCCAATGCTGCTTTACACATAAGGGCCAGCTGGAGGAAAGAGAGAGAGAGAGCTAAAAATAAGGGGTATGAGAGTGGAGAAAAGAAGTTTTGCTATTCTCCAATCTTGTACCCCATATTTTTCCCTCTCTCTCTTCCTGTGGCTCTCACCCCACCAAGGAATGACCATTTGGTATGGACTTGACTGAACTGTTGAAAAGGTTCTACTAAATCAGCAACAGCCATCCATCCATCTTACTCACCATGGCGTTGGCATGTGCAAGGAGCGACCGCTTGGAGTTGAGCTGCAGGCGAAGCTGCTCCAACCTCATGCGATCTGTAAAGATGTTCAACCAGAGGTTCCGGGTGGGGCGGATCCAAAGAATGGCCAATTCAAAACTGACTCCATCACGATCAAAACGGACGGATCGGAGTTCATGTGCCTCCAGATCCATTCGAGCTTGCGAGAGGTTTCAGATTTGAGTGGGACAGATGCAGCGAGGGGTGTGGGGGTGAGGTTGCAACCACTTTCTCTAGACTGCAAAATATGTCACCCCGTCACCCTTCTTCCCCCACTCACCTTCCGAAACTTGAGCTCGTTTCATCGCATTTGCTTTCCGCAATGACTCGCATCGCTCCTCCACCTCTCTCCGCTGCCCCTCCCACTGATGCTTCCCACCCTGATAGTGAATGAAACACCCACACAGGTAACACACCGTTGACACACAGGTCAACACAGAACCGAATACTCAAAGACCAACAAACGTTTCGATCAAACAAGAAGACACAGGCATTTCCGCTTCTCTAAAAGTCCTCATCAACCACTCGTTTCTCTAATCTACTCCCCTCGGCCGTCCCTCTTACAGAAAACCAACCTGGCTCTCCAGCGCTGCTGTCAGGAGATTCTTCAGGTGGTCTCTGTGGCACGTGAGACGATCTAGGTGCTGCCGTTGCACGTGCTGGCTGATGGGGAGAGTAAGTGATGATGAGAGGGGAAGGGGGAGAGAGAGTACATTCGAATCAACATATTAATCACTCTTGACTGCATTCAAATTAACATCAAATCTCTAAAAGAATTCGAATATGAAAATTATACAAAATTCACAAGGCATAAACATACAGATACGTGAAGTCTATGCCTCTCTCTCCCCTTGTCTCGCAACTCGACTCGACCATTTCCATCACCACTCCTCTTCACCCCTTCCCACCGCACTCTTTCACTTACATGCGATCCACGCAGTCACAGCAGAGCGATGGCAGGTTGACCCCCTCGCACACGGGACAAACGAGGCCGGCCATTATTTGTCCTAAACCAGGAGACTCTAGAAGTCAGATTAGTGGTATGTGGTTAACTTCTGAGTCGCCTTGAAAACCACCAACGTCTATTTACTGGCACGCGACTCGAGCGTCATGCAAGGACTTGAAAAGGGACACCGCCGGAAGGATACTGAGGCTTTGTGATTCCCGATTTTATCGGAGGTCAGCTGTTGCTGGTAGCGTGACAACCGACAGCTGACGGTCAGTTAACAATCAAATTCGGACGGTCGTCTATTAACGGTCAACAGTTGATGGTTAGTTGACGGTTGGTGCTGCTGTGTTGGCACTCCTGTTCGTGAAACCTCTAGCCGTCGATATATTCCCATTCGTCGGATGCTTTTTTCTGCTGTCGGGAATAGTCTACTGGCTCTTCAAACGCTTATAGGCGTATTTAAGACGTCTCATGAGATATTTCAGCTCTCGGAATACGTTTATGACTTGTCAGTTGCCTGTCGTAGCGACAAACGCAAGATTTGGCACACACAGCGAAATCCTAACCGTAGTAGACCAGCTGCGTGCGAGCGCAACTTCACCGACTCAATGACGTATACACTCCGAGTGTAACGGTGGACCGACAGATTGTGAAGCCTACAACATTAAATGTACCCTAAGCTCCCGCCAGTTTCGTCAAACGCCAATTACGGAAATAGAACACCGGAGTATCTTATAGCAACGCCGAAGGAGTGTGGTTTGGAGTATGGCTTGAAAAAACGACGTTGCGTCAGCCACTGGACTTGGTCCGAGGAGCAGCCATGGAAGCAATTGGGAATTGTGTGGCCTAGTTTTTGTGACAGACTGGTGGTTTTCGGATTTGACGTACGAGGACGTGTTGCAAGGAATGCCCAGCGTTTCTGTTACCAATTCATTTTGTTTTCGCTGGTAGCAGGCGAACAAGTCGGATTTCTTGTGCAGCGACAAACATCAACGACGTTGTCAAACAAACGGGTCAGCCCCACCCTGAGTACAGATCACAGAGCATCCTGATTACCCGTAAACAGGGCTTCGGAATCCGAACCTTCAGTTCATGACGCCAGTCGCGTGCTTGTCCGAGAGAACATGATATCTGTCCGGACCTACAGGTTTTAGGTTTGGTACGAGCAGCTGAGGGGGTCTCGTTTTGGAGCAAGCGGGCAGGCTCGGGTCAATAACCACAGCCGAACGAATTTTTATGCGATTTGCGAATTCTGAGTATGACCTCGTAACTTTCTTGAAACTAGCGTAACCGTCCTTGTTCTAATTCGTCAAGTTTTTCTCAACGAAATCACATTTCGTGAATCGGGCTTTCGTGAGTTCGGGAGATCTCGAGGGCCGAACAGACCAGCCAAGTAGCCGTGAGATTGTCGGCAGAACCAGATAGAACCTCTTCGGGAGCCAAATCGAGCATCTGAAGATTTCGGGTAATTCTGGAGGACGGAAGGCAAGCGATTGAAGAGAATGTGCAGCAGCGAAACGATTGATTGATCCCTGATCCTGGTGACTGAGCTTAGTAAGAGTTTGTATGATCGGGAAACAGGACATGAACGTACCAATTTGACTCCTTGGGCCTGAATTGGCCGACCTGGTCGAATTTCACTAACGACGATCGGGTGTACGACACGCTTTTCCCGCCGCGAAGGACGCCGCATTTTTCCGCCACGCTTCGGAGCGAAACGATATGTTGTTTGGGAAGAAATTCGTGGCAGGTCCTCACCGTCGATCGCATCCCCATCCGACGGTGACGAGTGGATTGTCCCGGCCAGACGCGTCCGCTTCTGATGCAGCCGAGCTCGATGGGCTGACGTGTGACACTAGCGAGCGGTTAATTGCGGATAATGACGAAATTGACCACGGCCATCCGCGTCATAGACATATTCGTGATGCGCATAATGCACAACCTGACGCACATTCCTACCCTGAACGAAATTCTCGTTCCCCAAATCCTCGTAGCCCTGAAAATGCCGAATCTGTGACTGCTCGCAGTAAGAGCACTTCTCCTGACGGAAAAGGTTCATACAGTACGCCTGGAGCACGACATGCTAGCGGAACTGCTAATAAATCGTCTGTTTCAAAACCCTTATTGCATAAGACCTTATTGCATAAGACCGGGGTTGCTAATATCGCGAGTGGAGATGGCGGTGGGAGGAGGTCTCAATGGCGTCTCTGCTCCTGCAGTCCGCATATAAACAGAGACCAAGCATCAGCCACTGTTGTGCTTATAACGGGGATGGCTCTAGTGGGGCTACTTGCGGGTTTGGACGTTTGGATAGAAGTTAAGAAGCTACAAGGAGAGATAGGGGCACTCGGGGATGATGGAAGCGGGGTTGGTGGGGAGAGAGGGGGAGGAGGAGCTAAAGAAAGACATAGGGTGTGTGAATTGCCTCCGGGGGTGTTCAAATCGGTGGAGAGGGATTTATTAGGGCGGATTTCGGAGTTTCCCAAGCTAAAGGAGGCTCTGAAGCAGCCAGGAGCGATGAATTACGTGAAGCTGATTCATCGGTACCTGGAGCCATGGCGACCCATTGCTGTGAGTGCAACTGACTGCATTCCCATGCCATATTTCATGCCATGCCATGCCTGACACACTCCAATTCATCAACATTTTACCGAATTTCTCTTCCTGCTTTTCTCATCGCATATTCTTGCATGCCAAATCTGGTCTCACGCATCAGAACATCATCGCTGGTCTGGGGCACAGAGACTTCGGAAATCAAAAACAAAAGTGATTTCCATATAGCTGGGGCAGAGGCTCTGTGACACCTGCCCGAGACTCTTCGAATCAGTTGTCAACCTTCTGATCTGGTTCTTTTTCCTGCCCCGCCCGTCTTCTCGCATGCATCAGAACATCAGCACTGGACTCGGGCACAGAGGCTTTGTGACGCCTGAGGCACTCGAGTTCATCAGCATTTCTCCGAACCTCATGTCCTGCTCCGGACATATTAAAGTAAGTGCGTGCCTTTTGCTTGCATGCCAACCCTGACCTCTCTCTTCAGAACATCAGCGCTGGTCTGGGGCACAGAGGCTTTGTGACTCCCAAGGCACTCGAATTCATCAGCATTTCTCCGAACCTCATGTCCTGCTCCGGGCATATAAAGGTAAATGCACGCTTTTCATTTCATTCGTGAAAGAATGTGATGGACCAATTCTTCTATTGATGATTCTCAGTTCTGGGGGAAGGAGAAGGGTCGGTGGGAGAAGGGTGCGAGAGAGGGGGAGAAGGAGGGGAAGAGATAGGAGAGGGATTTGGCAAAGGAGTGGGGGGGAAAGGTGGGGGTAGGTCCGTTTGTACCTCATATGGATCCGCGCCTTCTTTACTGTCATTTCACTGTGCACGGTGACATATACTTTGAGCGCGATGCTGAGTATGCATTTGTTATTTGTTATGCGTTATTATGGCAGGTTATAGATGGCAAAGTGTATTTCCGTTACGGCGGCTTTTGGAATCGTTACTACCGCTTAGGGAGGTTTCTGCAAACAGTCAAGATGCTGCAGGTGAGTCAACGCCAGTCAACGCCAGGTCATTGAGGGCAAAGTGTATTTCCGCTACGGTGGTTTCTGGAACCGTTGCTTCCGCCTATGAAGGTTCCTCCAAACAGTCAAGATACTGCAGGTGAGTCAACGCCAGTCAAGATGCTGCAGGTGAGTCAACGCCAGTCAAGATGCTGCAAGTGAGTCAACGCCAGTCAAGGGGTGCTAGCTAGGTAGGCAGGTGCATCAACACCTGTTCCCTGTCCTCCCCTTCACCTTGTGTCCTCCCTCCTGCCCTCCCGCCCGCCCTCCTGCCCTCCTCGAATTCTCAAACCCTTCACCATGCAGTGACGCAATACCGCCTCTCCGTCCTCCGTCTCGAGTTCTTCCTCAACACGTGCGACCACCCCATGTCGTTCCTTCCTCTCCTTCCCTCGTCCTGCACTCCCTTCCCCCCCTGTTCTCCAGGACGCAGTAACCCAATACCGTCTCTCCACTCTCCGTCTCGAGTTCTTCCTCAACACGTGCGACCACCCCATGTCGTTCCCCTCTTCTTGCATCCACCCCTAACCCGTGTAAACTCCACCCATTTGGCTGGACGCAGTGACACTCTACCGTCTCTCCACTCTCCGCCTTGAGTTCTTCCTCAACACGTGCGACCACCCCATGTCATTCCACAGCTCATACCATCCACTCCACCCCATGCCTTTCCCCTCTCCTTGGCAGGACGCAGTAACCCAATACCGTCTCTCCTCCCTCCGCCTCGAGTTCTTCCTCAACACGTGCGACCACCCTATGTCGTTCCACAGCTCTCACTGGCCAGCTAGGGGAGGCCTCCCCTTCATGAGCACCGCCTTCACAGCAGATACCATCGACATCCCAGTCCCCGACCCGCTTGATTTGACAGGACCCTACACGCCTGACCTAAGCACTCAGGTATGCACTTCCCTCACTGCCTGTGTGTGTGAGAGTTGCTGCCAGCCCTCACTTGCCAAACAGGGGCGGCCTGCCCTTCATGAGCACCGCCTTCACAGCAGACACCATTGACATCCCAGTCCCCGACCTGCTTGACTTGACCGGGCCCTATACGCCGGACCTCTCCACTCAGGTATGCATGTACAAGGGAACTGATCTTCCTTCCCTTACTGCTCGTGTGTGAGTTGCTGCCTGCCCTTCATGACCACGGGACTCACAGCAGACACCATCGACATCCCTGTGCCTGACCTGCTTGACTTGACCGGGCCTTACACACCTGATCTCAGCACCCAGGTAGGAATACGTGGATGTGGGTGGGTGGGGCTTCTCTGCTACCAACCACACAGGGGCGGGCTGCCCTTCATGACCACGGGACTCACAGCAGACACCATCGACATCCCTGTACCCGACCCTCTTGACTTGACCGGCCCATACACGCCTGATCTCAGCACTCAGGTATGGGGCATGCGAGCAACCCTGCATCTCCAACACTTCCTCCCCTCAAACCCGCCCCCCCCTTCCTCCCCTCAACCTCTCCTTCTTCCTCCCCTCAACCCCTCCCTCTTCCTCCCCTCACCCCCCCCCTCTTTCTCTCCTCACCCCCCCTCTTCCTCCCCTCACCTCCCCCTCTTCCTCTCCTCACCCTACCTTCTTCCTCACCTCCCCCCCCCCGCTTTCTTCCCTTCCGTCGTCCCCATTCCCCCCAGATCCTCTGGGAGACGATAGAGTCGCGGGCAGTATTTCGAGGGAAGACAACAAACTACGAGCTCCTACCAGCCGGCAACTGGGGCGCCAACCCGCGCATTCACCTGCATCTAATGTCCCCTGCTGCTCCCCACCTGATGGACGCGCGCATCAACGCATGGTCCAAGGTGGAGCAGGTCCAAGGCAGAGACCCCTCCTACTCGTCCTTCCCTTCCAACCCCCCCATTCACCACAGATCCCCTGGGAGAAGAAGGAATCGCGGGCGGTCTTCCGAGGCAAAACAACCAACTACGAGCTTCTACCCGCTGGCAACTGGGGTGCGAACCCGCGCATCCGCCTGCATCTCATGTCCCCCGCGGCCCCCCACCTGATGGACGCGCGCATCAACGCATGGTCCAAGGTGGAGCATCACGTGGTGAAGAGGATGACAAAGGACGGGGTCAGGCTTGCCAGGAAGATGAACTTCCAGCAGTTCAACGCCTTCAAGTACCAGGTGGGTGCTTGTGTGGGTGCTGGGGGTGTGTGCGTCTGTGCTACCTGCTCCCACCTGATGGACGCGCGAATCAACGCGTGGTCCAAGGTGGAGCATCATGTGGTGAAAAGAATGACGAAGGACGGCATGCGGCTCGCCAGGAAGATGAACTTCCAGCAGACGCCCATGCTGCAGTTCTACGAGCCCCCTCCCTTCCTCCTTCCCCCATTCTTCCCGTGCCCCTTTTCCCTCAGATATTTCCAATTTATCATAAGGCAACACACGCCCATGCTGCACTTCCCTTCCACCAGCCACCTGCTTTCACCACTTCTCCCTCTCCTTCCTTCCCTTCCTTCTCCCTTTATTCATGTCGCCCCTCCTTCCTTCTCCTGTTCTCCACTCTCCCCATCCTTCCCTCTACTCTTATCCCCATTTCCCATCAATAACAGATAGTGGCGGACGGGGGCGGAGGCAGTTGTCGCACGTGTGGGGTGCTGCGATCCAATCAGCTCATCATAAGGCAGCACACGCCTATGCTGCAGTTCTACGAGCCTCTGCTGCAGGATCGGGTGCACTGGCTCGCCACCTCCCGAACGTAAGTCTCTGGCTCGTCACATTTCAAACGTGAGTCACTGGCTTGTTATCCTTTTTTTTTTTTTGGTTGCGAAGCAACCTATTACGATCGTTATGTACAATTTTTTTTTCAACCTCGAAAAAAAACAAAAATAAATGTAGTGAACGGTAGTTATGGTAAGTGATTGACTGGTACGGTATGTATTTGCCTCGGCAATTCGCCACATTCGTTCTCATTTCCTAGTTTGCCTCGACTGAACCTACCCGTATATTGTATGGATCAAACATGAACATGTGTTGCCGAAATGATGTTACTGTGAACGCATGACTGTCTATTCCGTACCATGTTATGCATAGATGAAGTATAATGATGGATATGGTGAACCAAATATTGAATGAACAATGCATAAATATAATGCATATGCTACTGTGGTAAATATACCATAGTATATTTTCCAGCTTTAAGTCGTAGTTAAATGAATGCTTAGCATGATGGAAATGCGTAACAGTTAATTGACACAGGCTCTATGCTACCGCATCCCCTGCCTAGCATGGGGGGGAGCTCAATAGCATAGTTTCTGAATCATCCAACCGTTACATGAAACAACACAATCTGTGTAAATTAAAAAAATGATCAAGATCCATCAAATCCAGTTCAAGTGGACACACTCACTGAGTGCGCAAAGAACCTTCTCGGAAATGATGGTTTGACCATCTTTTTAAAACCCACAGATCCGCATTGTTAATGCGATGACAGATGCATACGGATGAGTGTGCATACACAAAGACACGCACTGACACACATACCGATATGCACACAACTCAGACAGAATCCGTTCACACACAAAAGGGCAATGCAAAAAAAACAGTAAAAACAATAAAACAAATGCAAACAAGATTTATCAATACAATACAGCTCTAAAAGTCACGACTAATATCGTTACACTTCATAAGAAGTCCTGGCAACGCGCAGGAAATAGCAAAGCCTCCGAACATTAAAAAAAGGGGGGGGGGGGGGGGGGGGGGGGGGGGGGGGAAGGAGGGGAGGGAAGGGTGGTGGGGGAAAAGAGAGGGGAGGGAGGGGAAGTTTAGATTCTCGTCCAATAAGCAGCAAATAAGAGGAAGGCTTAGGACAAGCGAGCTAAATATAGAAAACGACTTGTAAAAAGACGATTAACCTATTGCGATGGGTTATAAAAAAAAATCCTATTAACGGTTATAAAAATCAAGAGAAAAAAATGAAACACGACTCAAATAACACGATCTGAAATAAAGGGAAAACGATCTAAGTAACACCAGGAAATGAGGAGGCAGAAAGCAGAATTACAAAAAAACAATGACTGTTAAAAGAAAGGAAAGGAAACGAGAAAAAAACGTGAGAGAAAAAGAACGAGAGAACGAGAACGAGAGAACGAGACAGAATGGAAAAGAGAGAACGAGAGAGAGAGAGAGAGAGAGAGAGAGAGAGAGAGAGAGAGAGAGAGAGAGAGAGAGAGAGAGAGAGAGAGAGAGAGAGAGAGAGAGAGAGAGACGAGAGAGAGAGAACGAGAGAGAGAGAACGAGAGAGAGAGAACGAGAGAGAGAGAGAGAGAGAGAGAGAGAGAGAGAGAGAGAGAGAGAGAGAGAGAGAGAGAGAGGAGAGAGAGAGCGAGAGAGAGAGAGAGAGAGAGAGAGAGAGAGAGAGAGAGAGAAGAGAGAGAGAGAGAGAGAGAGAGAGAGAGAGAGAGAGAGAGAGAGAGAGAGATTTCAAAAGATTGGGAATTAGGTTCTCAGCACGAGCAATAAAACTAGAAGGAACGCGTTCAGGCTAACAAAGAAAAGATAACCATGGAAGAAAACAAATATGTAACAAGAGAAACGAATGGTGGAAACAAACGAGGTGCAAGAGAAGTTCATGGCTAACAAAAAAACTAACGTTAAGATCAAAAAGAGGAACGGGTAAGAAAAACAGATGAAAGGCGAAAGGAAAGGAAATGAAATAAATAAACGCACCTAGCTACGAACTCACCGAGATATGCCTAAACCGTGCATAGTTGAATGCGAACGAACGTTGAACGACATTTAAAACTGAAAGACACAAATCTAGTGAAAGACCTAAAGCTAAAGTATCTACAACAATTCTAGAACCTAAGCCTTAAACAACATGCGGCCAATACTATGCTAAACGACTACGATATGAGACCAAGAAATGGTAGTCTAGCGTGTAATGATCTAATTTGGCTCAAAATGATAAGTTAGGGTGGTTCTTACCTTGCACTAGTAGGTGGAGCGTGTTTGGCGGGGAGCTTAACTAGGGAGAAGGAGCAGCGGGAGAAAAAAAGGACGAACAAACCCTAAGGGAGTCTTGGATTCATCGCAAGAAACAATTACTTATATTTTTCGTGGCACGAAACGCGTGCCGGTGCTGTCGCAGTCGACTTAGGAGTGAAGCTGGATTCGAAAGGTCTCTAGTTCGATTCCAGCTGATGTGAAATTTTGAATCCTTGCCGAATTTTGTCCCTCTTAGTGTCATACTACAGCAAATGTACAGAATTAGAAGCTGTACAAATTTATGTGATTACGCAAAAAGCTTCGCAACCCTAAGACGATCTAGTCGACTCTTGTTTTTTTTTCTTGCATCTCAACCCACCCCTCTCTTCTTGAAAAAATCTTCTTCCAGCTTCTCAGACCTGCATGAGGCAATCACATGGGCGCAGCAGCATGACAAGGCAGTCCTGAGGATGGTGGAGGCAGCTAAACCCACTCCCCTGTCCCCATCTTTTATAACCCTTCGTTCCACTTGTGTGCCCCTTCGTAACCCTTGGAAACCCTTTGTAAACCCTCCTTACAGCTTCTCAGACCTGCATGGGGCAATCACATGGGCACAGCAGCATGACAAGGCAGTCCTGAGGATGGTGGAGGCAGCTAAACCCACTCCCCTATCCCCATCTTTTAACCCTTTGTAGCTTCTCAGACCTGCACGAGGCAATCACCTGGGCACAGCAGCATGACGAGGCGGTGCTGAGGATGGTGGAGGCAGCCAATCGATTCCTCATTCGCCTTCCTCCTGTGTACCACTTTGAACCACTTCGCAATCCCTTGCTACCCTTCGCTCCCTCAGCTTCTCAGACCTACACAAGGCAATCAAATGGGCGCAGCAGCATGACAAGGCGGTGCTGAGGATGGTGGAGGCAGCTCATCCCACTCCCTCTTCTTCCTCTCTCCCCCTCCTGTACCCCTTGGAACCCCTTTGAAACACTTTTACTCCACTCCCTCAGCTTCTCAGACCTACACGAGGCAATTATATGGGCGCAGCAACACGACAAGGTGGTCCTGAGAATGGAGGAGGCAGCTTTACTCACTCCTCCAATGTACCCCTTTAAAACCCTTTGCAACCACTCGGATCCCCTCAGCTTCTCAGACCTACACGAGGCAATTATATGGGCGCAGCAACACGACAAGGTGGTCCTGAGAATGGAGGAGGCAGCCAACCCACTCCCTTCTCTTCCTCCTGTGTAAAACCTTTTTGGCCCGCCGGATCCCTTTTAATTCTTTGCAACCTCTTTCCAAACCCTCCCTCAGCTTCTCAGACCTGCATGAGGCAATCACTTGGGCACAGCAGCACGACAAGGCAGTTCTAAAGATGGTGGACGCAGCCAATCGGTTTGCAGACCACGCGTGCACGTGGCATGGGCGCATGCTGTACTGGGCTCTGCTTCTCGTCAAGTATCAAGACGTTATGGCTGAACCCGAGAAGGTGTCAAAGCCTGCCCGGCTGTGCTTGAAACCGTGAGTAGCGAGGAAGGGAGAGTGGTGTGGTGGTGGTGGCATGGGCGCATGCTGTACTGGGCTCTGCTTCTCGTCAAGTACCAAGACGTCATGGCTGAACCCGAGAGAGTTTCAAAGCCCGCCCAGCTGTGCTCTAAGCCGTGAGTATTAGAGGGAGGGGAGGGAGCTAGGGGGAGTAGTAGGGTGTGTGGTGCACGTGACATGGGCGCATGCTGTACTGGGCCCTGCTTCTCGTGAAGTATCAGGACGTTATGGCTGAACCTGAAAGGGTGTCCCAGCCTACTCGGCTATGCTCTAAACCGTGAGTAGGGAGGAAAGGAGAGCGGTAATAGGTAGGTGCGTGTGGTGCACGTGGCACGGGCGCATGCTGCACCGGGCTCTTCTTTTCGTGAAATACCAAGACGTCGTGGCAGAACTCGAGAGGGTTTCAAAGCCTGCCCAGCTGTGCTCTAAACTGTGAGTCCATTGGGAGGGAAGGTGGACAAAAGGGAGGGCAGGAAGATTTTGCAAGAAAGGTCAGTTTGTGCGGTGCACACGGCACGGCGCATGCTCGTGAAATACCAGGACATCATGGCTTAGTAGATTGATCATCTGTGCTTTAAACCATGAGTATCGAAGGGAAGGAGGGGAGCGAGGGATAGTAGTAGGGTGTGGTGGTGGTGGTGGCATGGGCGCATGCTGTACTGGGCTCTGCTGCTTGTAAAGTACCAAGACGTCATGGCATGAGCTCTGAGCCTGAGAGGGTGTCTCGGCCTACCCAGCATCGTGTCTGCACCAGGGGTTGAGAAGGATCCAGGATCAGTCACATGCAGCAACCCTGAAAGGGAGAAGAAGCACGCTTCATTACCCTGCCTGTCCCCTTCCCCTGTCACCCCATCCCCTTGCAACCCTCCCATCAGCATCGTGGCAGCAACAGGGGTGGAAAAGGACCCAGCGTCAGTCTCGTGCAGCGATCCTGACCGGGAGAAGAAACAACAAGCAAAGCCTTCGCCACTCCCAACATGCCTTCCACAATCGCTTTCCTTTCCCCCCCTTTTCCCATCCCCTCAGCATCGTGGCAGCAACAGGGGCAGAGAAGGATCCAGCATCAGTCTCATGCAGCAATCCTGGCAGGGAGAAGAAGAGAAGCAGCCGGAGTGAACAGGCAAACCCTTCTCTAATTCCAACACTCCCCCTTTCTCCCATCCCCTCTCTCAGCATCGTGGCAGCAACAGCTGTGGAGAAGGACCCAGCATCAGTCACATGCAGCGACCCTGCCAGGGAGAAGAAGCAGCCAGAGTGTGCATTTTTCTGTGCTGGGGGGATCTTTTCCCCTGAATCCTTCAAGTGGTTACCAGCTGAGTCGCTCGACAAACTGGAAATAGTCGGACCCAAATAAGACGGTCATTTTCTGTATTATTGACTCCTTTATATTGTCTTTTGCATCTATCATGAACAGTCAAGGCAATGCCTACGCAGAAAGTCAAGAAGCTGCCTTTTCTCAAACTCTGCTACTGGTTCAATACCTACCGAGTAACATGCCCAACAGCATTTTTCTTATTAAAGCGGATGGGTGGCAGTGGGTGGGTAGACTTGCAGCAGCTTCCTGAGTTAAAAGGGGCGTGCATGGACACCACCGTATGGGCATTTATCGTATGCATTTATCACTGCCATAGAGTGTAGCAGGAACACATGACACACTTATGTCAAATATTATAGCCTGTAGTGGGTTGGGCTATATGGGGTACAACTAGTTAGGGTTAGGTTATGTACCCCAATTCTGTCAATGCAACACATTCCGCTGTAGTTCTCATTCTGACATGGTATCAGCAGTAGGTTAGCGCTCCTAGCCCTAGGCCCGCCCGTCCCTACCACTAGGGTTACCACTGCGCCCCGCCAGCCCGCCAGCGCCCTACCCCACGCCCCAGCCGGCGCGCCCCTCCCCTCCCCGCCCTTAGCCAGCGCGCCCGCCAGCCAGCCAGCGCGCCAGCCAGCCAGCGCGCCAGCCAGCCAGCGCGCCAGCCAGCCAGCGCGCCAGCCAGCCAGCGCGCCTGCCAACCAGCGCGCTAGCCCGCCAGCCAGCCAGCGCACCAGCGCGCCAGCCAGCCCGCGCGCCAGCCCGCTTGCACGCCAGCCCGCCAGCGCGCCCGCCAGCGGGCGCACCAGCGAGCCCGCCAGCTCGCCTGCCAGCGCGCCCGCCAGCGAGCTCGCCAGCGCGCCCGCCAGCGAGCCCGCCAGCGCGCCCGCCAGCACGCACGCCAGCGCGCCCGCTAGTGCGCCCGCCAGCGCGCCGCGCCAGCGGGCCCCGCCAGCGCGCACGCCAGCGCGCCGCGCCTGCCAGCGCGCGCCCTGCCTAGCCGCCCGCCAGCGCGCCGCGCCCGCGCGCCACGCCAGCCAGCGCGCCGCGCCGGAGCGCGCCCCGCCAGCGCGCGCCCCGCCGCCCCGCGCCCAGCCAGAACGCGCCCCGCCTGCGCGCACCCGCCTCGCACTCACCTCCCTCTCCTCCTCCTCTCGCGGCTGGCGGCCGCTATCGCTTGTTCTCGCCCCTCATGGCGACGTCTCGCGTGCTCCGTTTCGACCCTGAGGGGCGCGCGATCGACTTTAGTACCTGGCTGACGCAGGCCCAGCGCCACCTTAGGAGCCAGCGCCAGGATGGCGTGCACCTGTTTGCGCACGCGTCCGGTGCTCTGCCCGCCCCGCCGCAGCCTACACCGCTGCCCACTACCCCACCGCCTACTTCCGAGCAGGAGGCTGAGTACCAGCGCCGGTTCCTCGCTCGTGACGTGTGGGAGTCTCGTGACGCTGCTGCCTGCCTCGCCCTGACCGACCTTCTCCCGCCGACTGAGGCCGTCCACTTCACTCAGGTCGAGTCTGCTGCAGACCTTTACACTGCTATTGTTGCTCGCTACTCCACTCCCTCCTCTGCCGCCTCCTCGTCCCCTTTATCTACCCTGACCTCGCCTCCTTTGAGACTGTCGCTGACCTCGCTACCCACCTGCGCTCCCTTGAAGCTCGCTTCAAGGCCGCTTGCACTGAGGAACAGCTTGCCCTTGCACCCCCCCCCCCCCCCCCATGTGGCTCACTATTCACTGGTTAGTCACTCGCCTCCCTGACCGTCTAGCCACAGCCCGCGACGCGCTTCTCCTGAAGCACCCCACTGAGCTTACTATCGATCTTCTTGAGACCGCTCTCTCGAAGATCGAGAGTAACCTCCTCGCTGTTGCCTCCGCCTCTTCCGCGCCTCCTCCTCGTCTCTTTGAGGGGTGTGCGGTACCACAGCTTCCCACCTTCACTGCCTCGCTTGCCACTGCCGCGTCTTCTGCCTCTGAGGAGACGGCGGCCGTTTCTGTCTCTGGCGGACAGAAACGTGGCAAGTCCGGCAAGAAGGGAGGGAAGGGCGGCGGGGGTTCTGGGGGTGTTGCGGGTGGCGGCGGTGGCGGTAGTACTAGTGGCGGGGGTGGCGGCGGGGGTGACTCGGGACCTGACGGCTCTCCTCTAGACGGTGGTGAGGGGTTTCCGCAGCAGCAGCAGCAGACTCCTCCGCAGCTGCCACCGCCTGGACAGCAGCAGCGGCAGGGACAGCAGCAGCAGCGCCAGGGCCAGCAGCAGCGTCCGCCAGGGCCAGCAGCAGCGTCCGCCTCAGCAGCAGCCCCAGCAGTGGGGCACTCAGCAGCAGTGGGGCACTCAGCAGCAGTGGGGCACTCAGCAGCAGTGGGGCCCTTCGCAGCAGTGGGGCCCCCCGCAGTTGTGGAGACCTACGGCCCCCCCGAGCACTGGGCGCAGTGGTGCCCCTTCTAGTCGGGGACCCCGCTCGGCCGGCCGCGACGTTGGTCCCTGTGAGTACTGGATCCTGACGGGTCCGCGCAGGGGCACGTACTGCGGCCGCCCTGACCACTCTGCTGCACGCTGCTTCAGCCGTCTCGACGACCTGTACGTCCTGCACCACGGCCCCTCCGCTCCCCCGCCACCGCGCTGGGGACCACTCCTTGCTCGTGGTGTTGCTGTGTTTGATATGTCTATGGATGATGCTAGGTCTTATGCGATGTATGCTGATGTTGACTATAGTGCTGCTGGATCTGTTTACTTGCCTGTACCTAGCGTAGGATCTTTGCCTGTTGCTAGAGTAGGTGCTGGTGTAGGATCCTGTCTAGCTACTAGTACAGGTGCTCCCTCGGCGGACGCGTCGCTCTCCTTCACACTGGACTCCGGAGCGACGCAGTGCTTCTTCCGCGACAGCACGACTCTTACTCCACTCTCGGCGCCGGTTTCTGTAGCACTGGCCGATCCCTCTTCGGGACCGGTCATTGCGACTCACGCCACTACCCTCCCGTGCCCAGCTGCCCCTTCCGGTTCTCTGACCGGCCTCCACGTTCCTACTTTCTCTAGGAACCTGGTTGGTGTGGCTCCTCTGGCGAGACAGCACGTCGGGGTCTGGTTTGAGCCTTCTGGTGACACTGCAGTCTGTGTGGACGGTGACACGTACGCCCCTCTGGCCACTTTTCGTCAGGAGCCGGGCTCTGGTCTGTACACCCTCCACACCGACACCCGTCCGGTTCCCCCGTCCCACCAGGTAGCCAGGTCCAGTCAGGTAGCTGTGCCAGGTCTAGTGGCTGCGTCGTGCTCGTGTCGGTCGCTGTCCCACCCTGTCCTCCTCTGGCACCACCGCCTTGGTCACCCGTCCCTCTCTCGTCTCCGCGCTATGTCCAGTCAGCGTCTTGTCTTAGGCCTCCCCCGCGACCTCCCGCCGCTCCCGCCGTCCCCCGCTCCTCCGTGCGGTCCTTGTGTCCAGGGTCGGCTGCGCGCCACTCCTCACTCCTCCTCCCTTCGTCCAGCCTCCGAGCCCTTTGAGACACTCCACTTAGACGTCTGGGGCCCCGCTTCCCGGCTTGGACCTGAGCGAGAGAGCTTCTTTCTAGTGGTCGTTGACGACTACTCTCGGTACACCACCGTGTTCCCTTTGGCGAAGAAGTCCGACGTGACTTCTACGCTGATCCGGTGGCTGCTCGCCACCGAGAGTACTCGTCGTCGTCGTGTCAGTTGTCTCCACTCCGACCGTGGGGGTGAGTTTCGCTCCGGCATTCTCGCCAGATTCTGTGCTGAGCAGGGCATCACCCAGTCCTGGACTCTTCCAGACTCTCCACAGCAGAATGGGGTTGCTGAGCGCCGGCTAGGCCTGGTCATGGAGATTGCCCGCACCTCCATGATCCACGCCCGCGCGCCCCATTTTCTGTGGCCCTACGCGGCTCGGTACGCCGCTCACCAGCTGAACCTCTAGCCTCGCGTCTCTCGGCCAGGGGCTTCACCGACCAGTCTTTGGACAGGGTCCCCTGGTGTTGCGTCGAGGTTTCGTGTCTGGGGCTGCTTGGCGCTTGTCCGCGACACCTCTGCGGACAAGCTCTCACCTCGCGGCGTCCCCTGTGTCTTCCTTGGTTTCCCTGAGGCCTCCTCTGACTTCACCTTTTACCACCCTCCCTCCCACCGGTTCTTTGACTCTCGTGACGTCAGTTTCGACGAGTCCGTCCCCTACTACGTCCGGTACCCCTGTCGAGGTCTCCCGGTTCCCCCCCCTCCCCTCTTCCTCGCCCCAGCTCCTCCTCCTCCCGCTCCCTCTCCTCCGGTACCCCCCCCGGTTCCCGCTCCGTCAGGTGTGTCACAGGCTACCCCCCCTCCCTCGGTACCCCCTCAGGTCTCTCCTCCTTCCACACAGTCGTCCTCACAGCCTCCGCAGCAGCTGTCGTCGCTTCCTCTCCCGGCCACTGCGGACTCTGAGGGTGTTGGTGCTCGAGGTGAGGGCTCTGGCGGTGCCGGTTCTGGGGGTGTTGGAGTTGGAGCTGAGCGTGCACCTGCCGCAGCTGCACGTCCCGAGCGTGTTGGAGTCGGTGGTGGTGCTGGAGCTGGTCGTGTTTCTGGAGCTGGAGAGTCTGGGGCTGGTGCTGGTGCCACTGGGCGCACCACGACTGGGGGTGCGGGTTTGCCTTCCACAGGTGCTGGTCGTGCTGCAGCGGGGGGCACTCGCTCTGGGGGTGCTCAGCCGGGCGCTGTCGAGGGTGGAGCCGGTTCTTCGTCTTCCTCTCCTGACCTCACTCCTCCTCCTCACTCCTACCCGACTCGACACCAGGCCCGTCTTCGTCTTGAGCGTGAGGAGCAGCAGCGTTTGGAGCGCGAGAGGTTGGAGGTTCAGCAGCGGGTGGAGCGTGAGAGGTTGGAGTTGCAGCGGGAGCAGCAGCAGCAGCAGCAGCAGCCGCCGCCGTCGCAGCAGCAGCAGCAGCAGCAGCAGCAGCAGCAGCAGCAGCCGGAGCAGTCTCCGGCCCCTGTTTCTGGCCTTCGGGCCCTTGGTCTCCCCTCCTCTCCTCCTGTGTTCGGTCCTACGTTTCCTCCTCCGGACTCAGCTCCGGCTGTGTTCCCTCGTTCTCGCTCTCCCCCCTCTCCCTCTCCACTTGCCCACACTTGGGCTCCTCGTTCTCCTCGTGCTCGTCCCTCGTCCCCCGTCACTGACCTCCGTGCCGCCTTGTTTCACCCTAGCCCTCCTCGTTCTCCTCCGTCTGTTCTCCCTCGTCCTCCGGAGTCGTCCCTCACTGCCGCCCTGTCCACTCCTGTCACTGACTACTAC